GAAAGCTCATTTGTCCATGAAAAGTAACAAGAGGCCATTGAAAGCTCATTTATCCCCCTTTCCCTCCCAACTTAGTTGCCATCCCTATTGTTAGGTAAGAGAACTCAGAAAAGTGACAGGAGGCCATTGAAAGCTCATTTGTCTATAATACCCTCCACAAATTCTTTATTGCACAAATATTTCGGTTTTGCGGCAGTGAGGGCAAAATGGGAATGGCAAATTATTTTCTCGCCATAGTTCATGCAAAAGTCAAGTCAGAAGAGAGTTTTGGCTCACACTTGCATTGAACATCAATCAATGAGGCCCAGCTGGTGAAAATGAAAATGTGCCTGTTTACAATAACGGGAATGATATTACGACGGCTACAACTTTATTTACAGAATGTCACGTAGCATTATGTTATTAAATAATTTTAATAAAAAAATTATTTTCAATAGTTTTTTGTCAACACGATTGTCAACAAAGTTGTCGTACGAGTCCCAACTCTCAATCAACGTGTATATGTTAAAAAATAAAAAAAGTTACTAGCTTATTTTTTGAGCCTAATAAAACATTCTTAACTTTTAAGATTAATTTTACTAAATTATAATTTTGTCAAGAAGACTGGCCCTGAAAATCTCGAGATTTGCAAGCCAGAATTAATATGTTCTTATCTTATAAGATTAAGAATATATTTTTGGCCACAGCTGGATACTGAAATTGGAAAGGAAAGTGATACATCAGTCAAATGTTTTACACTAAAGAGAAGGGAAAATTGCACTACTAAAACTTTCACTTTTATGCTTACCTTTACTTTCTTGCATTCACAATACCAAACCTTATAAAAACTCGCATATGTCCACGTGGATGAAAAATGTTATTTTCACTGTTGGTTGACCAAATAATTGATATTTGACAATAATTTTAACTAATTTTAAAAAGTTAAAATGGTAACTTTACATTTTTATAATAAAATAATTAAAATTGAAAACCAAATAACTTCTCCCACCCACCCCACCCCATCCCATCCC